TTATGTTTCTTTTTTCACCGTAATATGTTTCGGTATATACGACATAATACCGAAATTAAAATTAAATATTTTATTAGAAATACTCTTCTTGTTATAAGTAAGTATACTTTTTTCCATTTATTGCGTTTGATTCACGATAGAACCTAATTTAACGATATCGCAATGATAAATTACTTCTTTATTTTGATAGTAATGTTTCGAGAACGCGATTCGCTACTATTTCTTCTCTATCGTGTCGATATTATTCCAACGCTCTACTGAGCATCGCTTTCCAATTAAAAAAGTTTTCGCTTTAATCGGATAAAATATTTTTACAAGCTTTCAGCTTTTTCGCAAAACAAAAACTTTTAATTTTTTCTCAGTTCCATAATATTTACGTATTTTCTCATTATTCACGTCATAGTTGTTTCATAACAATGGATTGCTGCAATGTTATTGATTGGCTTATTAAAAAAGATAATATATTTAGAAATAATCTATTTATAAGTAAATGATCTCATGTAGCAGAAATGATATTCAACCTTTCGCCAAACAAAAACTCTTTTTTTTCTCGGTTCTATGGTATACGTATTTTCCCATTATCATAGTAATGGGATTGAATTTCTCCGCATCACAGTTGTTTTTATAATGATCTCAGCAAACACTTACAAATAACATATTTGTTAGTTATAATTTCTCATTCAATAATATAACTATAATATAACATATATTACAGTTATATTTTTAAGTGGTAATTACACTAACAGATGCGTTACTTACATGTAACTTTGTATTTGCCGGAATGCGATGTTATTGATACGCTCATTAAAAAAGATATTTATAATTAATTAAATTTTATAAATAAGTAAATAGTCTTATGTCTCTAGATTTGATATTTGTTCATCTAGATTAATAAAGATAATATTTTTTCACTATTTATTATATAAAAAGTAGGTCTGTTTAATCTGTATAATGCATTATAAGTCAAATAGATGTAAGCACATGTAAATCTTGGTCGAATGTTTGTTTCAATAATTTTCTTGAATGTAAAAGTCAACAAATTTATCGAATTTGCATGGCCATTTATTTCTAAATCCTCTTGACTTTAACTCGAGATATTCGGAAAATTTTTACCAAACTATTCATGTTTTATTTTATTAAAAATATTGACAAACTTGTTAGCTTGTTTGCAATTTTTTGTCTACTTATATCCATTGACCTAAATTGACACACACAAAAAAATTAATGTAGTATCTAATATATGTAGATTAAATTTGAGCTATTTTTATTGGCCTTAAAATTAGGCTACTAAATTGTTTGTTATTTTCCGATTATATAAATGTATATATTATAATTACGAGAAAATTGCCGAGATGTATTTTAGTCACTGAGATAACGTCAAAGATATCATAGGAGTAATACCGATGAATATTTTTCACACTGCCAAGTTTTCCCAAGCATTATTCGCGGCTATCGATCATACGAATCGTCCCGAGCATCCATCGGAGTAACGTCCTTCCGGCCCGTGTCCTTCCTTTTCTGCTTGTCGTCGGGATGCCCATCGATAGAAATCGCGATCCTGGCCGTGTTCCAGGATAGCCGTGGAATTTGTCAATTCGTCCCACTCGATCACTGCCCCCCTCCCCCCTCCCCCGCCTATCGACTTACAGCTTCTTCACTTCTCTCCGCCTTTCCTTTTCGTTGTCTTGAGTATCACTGTCCTTTCGCCTACTCACTTGCTCCTTCGATTCTTTACCGAGTTTCAAGTCCTTTTCTTCTTCCTCTCTCCACAAATATCCCTTCAACTTCTTTACCATTTCTCCTTTTTCATCTTTTTATTTCCATCCTCTTTTTCTTTTTCAGTTTTTCCGTTTTCATCTTTTCTTTTCATATCGATCTGTCGATCTCATTTCGCACATTTTCTAAGGATTTTTTTTCTTTACTGATCGACACACCGCAGATCTTCTTTTCGGTTGGCGCACAAAAAATCACAAAGATCCTAAGATTTCCTTTATCTAGCTTAATCCCGGCATTCGTTCCAGCAGCTCACCGAGAGAGAACGCATTTTTCAATGAAATACTATAGGTACGCCAATGAAACGTCAGACTGTGCCGATGGCAGACGTCAGCCTTGTTGAGAATGTTCGGAAGTATAATGATTACTAAGAAACTTCTTGATCATGCGAGCGTCCCTCTTTTTCTTCCTACCTTCATCAACGATTTTTTAATCTTTGAGTAGGGAAAAAGGTTTTGATGAACTACCTAGTTCTTAATAAGAATCACCACATTTCATTTTTCGAAGATATCAGGATAACGTACTTAAAAGGATGCCTCTTAGATGTTCAATATTTCGATATTTTTACATAAGTAAGTTAAGTACATAAAGAATTAAGATGTAAGTGAGCAAATCACTCGGTGGATTATATCATGAAAATTATAAAACTACTTTAAAATATTCAAAATAAAACAAAGAAAGAAAAAAATAAAATATAAATTTTTTAAATAAAAAAGAACAGTCATGTTTCTACAATAAATACTTATTCATCTAAATTGACATTGTCTCGTTAGAGAAATAAAAATCTAAAAGTAAAAAATTTAATAATTATTTTAATAATATATTTTTTCAATAAGTAAATAAAAATTTGTTTAATAGTACGTAAATATTTGTTTCAAGTTATCTCGATATGTTACAGTACTACTTCCATTATAAGAACAAAATAACTCCATATGATCAGAGCTCAAAATATAGGTATGTTTATGACAATTCATGACAAAACGCCACAGTCGCCACATCGGTCTATTTGCCGTTGTTGAGCTCTGTTCCTCATTGCTACTTCGATTCATGCCCGTTGGATACATTTCCTGTATGCGGCAGGGGTGTCCACCAACCTCCGGCGGCGAAGGGGCAGAACTTCCTATTGGCCACTTCCTATCCCGCTAGTTCAGCGTTAGGAATTCCAATTCCCGGTGCTTGTCCCTCGGCTGACCACAAGCCAGGACCTTAAATTTAATCTTTCGATTTGAAATCAAAAGTCCTGTTTGTGAGGACTAAGCACGTTGTCCAATATTACAGAGTAATCAAAGATATTCGAGACATTTTATTTTTATG